AATATAATGCATAGGAGAGATAATATATATATATATATATATATATATATATGTGTGTAAAAAATATTTAAAGTGGATTTCTTCAGTATATATATATATATATATATATATATATATTTTTTCATTTTACTCTTAATAACTATATAATCTCTAATAATCATATAAATTATCATAATAAATTTGTTATCTTTTCTCTTTTTTAATGGAAGCACATAGTATTTTTTTTCACTAGTATAATTGAAGTTCAATTAGTGTAGAAACTCATACGCTTAAGTAATTAGAAATTATCTTATATTTAATTTTAAAATTATTATTAAAAATATCAATAATTTTATTGTACATAATAAACTAGGATTAAATAATTATGTAAAGACTTTAACCTCTATACGCTAAATTTCGCAAATATACTCGAATCATTGTTTAAGAAGTATTTTTGGATTATACACCAATATTTTGGGTTGGGGAGGGGGAGGGCTTCACTTCAAGGACATTTAACTCAATTGATTCTATTTATATATAATAGAAAATAAAAATAAAAAATAAAGAAACTACTGTCACGCGTTCATTCTCCTTCCAACCATGTTCACAGTAACATATGTGATCATTTCCTAAAACAATCTGATTGAAAAACTACACCAGTTATTGATGTGAGCAAGAATCATTCAAGTATCTTCACCTAATAATTTAACCTTGCCTTTTAGGGGTAGTAAGTTCATGACATGGAGTAAGAACCTTTATGACCAATTATTTATCTAAAATTTAATCCCTTACTGCCTCCATTCTTACCAAAATTAAATTTTAACAAGGTAAATAAACCTGATCATTATTTACCTTCACTCTTAGAAGATTCATGTTCTGAGATGTGTAATGTAATATAAAATCATTCATTTCTTTTTACCTAATAATTTAAACTTTTAAAATTGTTATGTTTTAACAAATGAAATTGAATGACCCAAAAGGTGGAACTAGATTTGAGTAGAACTAAATTTTCGAGTTTGAGTTTTAAAAATAGAAAAATATAATTAAAAAGGATAATTATACTAAAGATGTTTAGTTAAATTCTCTAATAGAAACTATTATTCATCGATAAAATATGTAGATATTTAAAAAATATAGAGGTGATTAATAAGGGGAAAAGGATATAAAAAGTGAAGAGACAACAACCTGTATGTACCATTATCTATGATGATAAGGGTGGTATCAGAGCTGGATTCAGGAACAGCATCAACGGCTTTCTGCACGCTACTGAAGTTAGCACAACCCTGTAAGTCAACCGTTAAAACTTGACTCACATTATAGTCTTGAATAAGCCTTGAATTCCATTTGGACCCGTCACATTTTTCCTTATGGCTCCGGTGATGATGATGTCTCCTCCTAGCTACACTTGTTATCAGAGACACAAAGTCCTGAGCTCCACTAAACTTTATAATCTTGGTAAATATTTCAAGCTGGAAACTGAAACTATCTTGAGGGCTAATGGCCGTGTCAGAGGTCGGGGAAGGTGGCGGTGTTGTATAAAGAACAAATATGATTGAAATGAGAAAAATGACAAAGCCAGAAAGCCAAAGGGTTCTGTTGAATCCCATCTTTTAGCTTTATGATATGGTTACTGTATTTGTGTCACTTTGATTTGAGAAATGGGTTTGGGGTGGAGAGGAGAGTGAGGTAATGCTTTTATAATGTGCATGTGAAAAGGTTGTGTGTGTGCTAGTGATGCATGATTGGAGTGGCAGTTAAGAAATGTATGAGCTTGTGTCATGTCTAGCTAGGCGTGTAGAGATTATTACTAAAACCTTCTTTTGAAAGCATTATGGATCTCGGAAAGCTTTTTATGATATGACAAAGATACACAGGAATAGGATAGGAAGATGGACACGCTAAGTCATTAATTGCACAAAGATTGAAAACAAATGAAGGTCCATTCATTATTGGGGCTGTGTAAGCAAGCTATATATGAATAAATATGATAGAATAAATAGGACATGCAAGTAAAATAAATTAAAAATAGTCGTCATTCAACCATACATTACAGATTGTAATGTAACTTTTATAATAACTATTTTAATAAGAGTTAATCTTTTGTGAATTCTGATTGGTCGATAATACAGAAGAAATTATACCGTCAATGCATAAAAATTAAAGTGGTGTGATTATTTTGTATACTGAAGTTGGCTTCTTAGCTTGGAATGCACTGTGTTAAGTTTGTATATATATGCAGATGCTTCAAACTGAATCCATTGCAATTTGCAAACCGCCCCTCTTGGACTGGTGTCTTGCGTATTACTTGTTAATTAAGACTTGGCTGAGAGAAATTCTGGGTCTTTTGTGTTGCAGAACCAAACGGTGAAATCTCTGAAAACATAAACCTACTAGTCCGGATTAAAAGACACTATATATATATATATATATATAGAAGAAGAGAAGAGATCCATTTATTTCAGAAATTAGTCTTTTTAAACTTATTATGTTCAATAACTCATATTTTATATTAAATTTTAACGATTCAATTATTAAATTTAAAGTTTTTAATGTATATATTAAGTATAAATTTTTTAATAAATTTGAAAATAATTTAATATTTAGTTTTATTGATTCAAATTGACGAATAACTATAAAAATATTTTATACAATTATTTGAATTAATGAAACGAGATGTCAAATAATTTTCAAGTTTTTTAAAAATTTATAAATTTAATTTATATATTAAGAACTTTAAATTCAATGATTAAATCATTAAAATTTGATATAAAACATAAATTATTGAACAAAATAAATTTAAATAAACTTACTCTTAAAATAAATAAATATCTCCTTTCTATATACATAATTATTGAAAGTCGGGAGAACGACATTTGGCCAATCACCAAATCTCTATGTCCTACATAGAGAATTTCTGTATGCAAATAGTAAGAAAAATCAAATGAAAACCACTAAAAGAAAAAAGGTTTTATGTACCTTTCCTTCTAGGTTATTTAGGATGCTTTACAATGCATGTATTAACATTTGCCTCGAGGGGTTCTATTCAAACTACTTTTTCTCTCCACAGTTTCTATTTTTTTTTCTTACATTCTATAAATTATTTTTCAAAATATATTCTATAAAAATAAATTTTTGAAATAAAACAGTGTGAACAGAAGAAAAAAATATAAATTGAATCTTTTTTTCGCATGATTCAATCTAGATTTTCTCACCCCCAACATATTTTTTTTCATATTTGATTTTTAAAAACTTACTACTATAAACCTACACCTATTTCTAATTAACAGAGATACTAACGAATTGGTTTGGTGTGATTTTAAGGAATATAAACCAAACTAATTAAAATTATATGGTTCAATTTAGTCAATTTTTGACAAACTTTTTAACAAAGCAATGTGACTCCCACGACCAAGTATTTTCAACTCAATTTTGACTAAATTATCCTCCACTCAACCTTAACAAGAGTATTTGCACATTGACCAAAGTATTTCTAGCTCAATTATGGCCATAATATTTTTCAACTTGATCTCAACTAAAATATCTTTCACTTGACTTCAATCAAAGTATTTTTACCTAACCTTATTTTTAACTTTATCTCAAGTAAAGTGTCTTTAACACAATCTCAATCAAAATATTTTTGTGACTTTGACTAGAGTACTTTAAGCTTGACCTTAGTTAAAGAATTATCCAGCTTAACTTTAGCCATGACCAAAGCTTTATAACTCAGCCTTATTGGCATGAGTATTTTTAACTCATTTCTCAGTTGTAATATCTTTAACCCAATTTTAGTTAAATTATCTTCAATTCAACTTCAACTAGAATATTTTCAACTTAGTCGTCTAGGCTAGCACAGTCCACCCTCAACTAGAGTACCTTTAGCTTAGCCTTGGTTTGGGTATCTTCATAGTAGCTTTAGCTAAAGTATATTTAACTTAGTCTCAACATAGTATCTTCAACTTGATCTCAACCAAAGTATATTCATCTCAAACTTAGTCAGGGTATCTTCATGTAAGCCTTAAATAAAGTGACTTCAGTTCAACCTTGATAAGAGTTTCTTTTGCTCGACCTGGTCAAACTATTTCAACTCATTATTGGTTAGAGAGTATCTTTATCTTGACCTCAACTAGAGTATTTTTCAACTCAGTCTCAACTAAAGTATTTTATATTGGCCTCAATCAGAGTATCTTCAACTCAACTAAGGATGGAAAAAATACCTGCACCTGCGGGTATCTGTGGGTAAAATTTGCTACGGATAATAAATGAGTAGGTTAATTAGGTACCTGCAGATAATGGGGCGGGGGCGGGTATGATGGTATCCATACCCGCGGGTACCCGTTTAATAACATTTCTTAAATATCTTAATTATCCTTGCACTAATAAGATGGATAATTTAATTAATTTTCTAGCTTTGATTGGACCAATAAGATTTTATGTATTTTAAGTTGTTTACTTTCGTTTGGAATTATGAGATTGAATTATTGTAGTTTTGTGATATGAAACTTTTACTTACTTGTGTGATTAATATATTTTAAGTTATTGATTATCTTGTTTTTTTGTTATTATTTCAACAAAATTAACGTTAATTACAAGTTCAAAATTAATATTAAATTTTTATTTTTAATATTTCAATGACAGTAAATATAAACTTAAAATTATTTGTAATATAATTTTTTTAATTTCTTAAAAAATTTATAAATATCCATGGATATCAATGAATATCCATGGGTATTCAAGAAATTCATGGATACCCGCTTAACGGATACCCGCGTAGGTATGGGGCGGATATGGGGTCAATTTTCATCCAGCGGGGCGGAGACGAGTTTACTATTACCCGCCCCCACGAGGCCCCATTGCCATCCCTAAACTCAACCTCTACCGAACTATATTCATTTTAGCCTCCACCAAAGTATCTTAATCTTAGTCTTGATTAAAGTATATCTAGCTCAATCTCATTCAAAGTATTTTAATAGGAGTATCTTTGACTCAATCTTAATAGAAGTATCTTAAACTCGACCTTGACCAAAGTATCTTCATCTCCTTAGTCAAAATATCTTCAATTCAATCTCTACTAGGGTATTTTTATATCAGCCTTGACTAAAATATCTTTATCTTTATATCATTTAGAGTATATTCATCTCAGGTTCTACTGAAGAATTTCAACTCAATCTCGACCAAAGTATTTTCAACTTGATCTTAATCAAAGTAGCTTCTACTTAGCCTTAGCCAAAGTATCTTTATCTCAACCTCGAACATAATATTTACTTTCAACATCAATTAGAGTATCTTCAACTCAATATCCACCATTGTTTCTTCAACTTAGACTTGGCCAAAGTATTTTTAGCTTAGCCTAACATAGAATACCTTTATCTCAACCTTGTCCAAAACATTTTCAATTCGATATCTTAACCAAAGTATCTTCATATCAACCTTAGATAAAGTATTTTCATATCATCCTCAACTAGAGTATTTTTAATTTTTTAAATTTTAAAAATAATTTTATGGATGGATAGAATATTTGTTTATTAAAAAATTGTCAATAAATGAATTTGATAATTTTTAATATGTGGATTATATACGGCTCAAGTTTTTTATTGAAAATTTATATATATATATATATATACACAAATGTTAAATATAAATTTGAAACTAAATATAAAATTTTTTTTATATTAACAATCAATCATATCTTTTAATAATGACATGTCAATTGTTTATTTAATGAAATAATAATAAAATAAGTAACTTGAAAAAATATGATTAGTTGCTAATATAAGTATGTTGTAAATCCGAATCAAAATGTATTTGATTCGTCCATTCCTCACCCCCAACAATTTTCTAATGCTGCAAACAAGAAAAGATCGTACTCTCTTATCATTTTCTTTTTCTTTTCAATTCCTTTGTCGGCTCTTTTAATGTACAAAACAGTGTTTTATTTAAATAAAAATTATGATTCAAAATATTAATAAATTTAAATAATGTACCAAATTAATCGAGTAAAATTGTAAAGCAAAGCCTACATATCCCGGCAACCGAGCCGGTGCGGCGCACCAAGAGACTACTAAAACATTTTCTCGATTATAAATTTTGAAGTAAAAATTCTGGACTTGAACCACTCGAGCTGCTGGCTGATACAAGGAGATGGTGTTGTGCTGTTTTCAACGATTTGAGAAGGAAAGGAGCAATAGGTACAAGGCACTGCTTTCACCTACGCAATCCCTCATAAAGATGACGAGGATTTCTACCACTTCGTGCTATATGCACTTCAATAATTTAATGTTAATATACCTCGAAATTCTAAAATGTACCAAAAAAAAAAGATTCTTTAACAAAAGAAAACCACCCCGGCATTTAAAACTGCTCTAACTAAGTCACAATTAATGTTACATCATTTTTCCGGATTACCCATCCTATGGTGGTGCGAACTAGTGGCGCAAATAGTATCACAGGTAAAAATGGAGCTATTTTATATTGCAAAGCACTTGTCAAAGATCAAGAGCTGGGGTATTCTTAACATAAACTAATATTAAAATTAAAATATAACACAAGACATTATAAATGTTTAAACAAATGGAAGGAATGTTTCAGGAATGGCTTCAAATAGCCAAAAGTTAATATATGTACAAAACCTGAAGAAAGGAAAAAGGAGGTTAGAAACTAGGGGTTTTCCCCTTTCACGATTGACTCTTGTTTTTTTTCTATAAAAAAAATGTCATGATTGATTATTGATGACCCGACACGGAGGCACCATTTTATGCAGCATATTTGTCCCTTTGAACGTGACCATCTGATTGCAGTGTTTTCTATAGTTTGTAACCTGCAACACAAGAATGAAAATTAAATTCTTTTTTCAAGTTGGTGTTGTGACAAATAAGAAATAACACAGATCGTTAATTTATCTGCTGCCAGAGTTACCAAGTTAGAGCTCAACTGCAAAAACGCTAGACTTAAAGGGGGCAAAAATTTTAACATAGCTACCACCTCAAAGTTATATAAAAGCAAATTATATACCTGATCTGGTTTCATCTTGCTAAACTCAAATTTATCCGTCCATATGGATTCTGCTTCTTCTGCAGCTGGCAACACAAGGGTCTTCACATTCAAGAAAGCCAGGAGCCTCTCGATGCAGGAGAAGAGTGTTTGGAAGTAGCCCTGATTGGATCAAACCAATATAATTATTAATGCACAACCAAGACATCCGTTAGTGATCAAAATATACACCATCAATCGAAATTCCAAGAGTGCAGAAAATTTCAAATAGAGGAAAGAATGATGCAAGGCAGACAGCCAAAAGTACAGCCTCTTACCTTTCCATGGTTCCCATTACTAGTTGCAACTAAAGGGAGTTCAGCAATATCTGTGCCAAAAATTCGAAGCATGCCCGCAGATACCACAGATGAACTTCAACATGAAGCAAAAAAAAAAAAAAAAAAACTAAGCAGTACTATAAGTATTGAATAAAGTTGAATAGAGACAACCACTTCTTACTTGACTATTAGTAATGCACAATACATTCCTCCAAATTCCTGATTCCTCACATTCCTCCTGTGGGTTATATGTTGATTGAGACAAAAAAAAAAAAACAAAGATAAAGAGAAAATTGAGACTTAGAAATGGTTTAAAAGGAGTTTCTAACCCATAAACCATGGCTGGAATAAGGTCACGTCCACTAGCAGCGTCAACTATAGGATTAAAGCATTCCTGAAACAAGCAGGGGAAGTCTTGTCTAAATGAATCATCAATCAAATTAAAGTGATAGCAGTGGTACCAAATACACAGTTTGTTATAAGTTGTAACATTTCACAAATGCAATACCCTGTGGAGAGCTCATGTAAATATTATCACAAAGTACAAAAATATATGCAAAACTAATATGCAAGTTGAGATGAAGGAAATAGGGTTCGAGGATTTTGTTTTTTGAGGACTTAAAACCAAACTTGAAAAATTTTAGAGGGAAAAAGAACATATTTTATCTATTTATAAATTATAAATGTAATATATATAAAAAAACTAAAAATAAAGATAAGATGACTTTATAATCATATCAAAATTTTATTTAGATATGTAAAATAAATAAATCAGACTGGTAAGAAGTACTTACATGAAAGATTGAAACAGCCTCCAAAAGCAATGGTCTAGTTTCAGCAGAAGCAATTTTACCATTAAGAAGCCTCCATCTTACATCAATATCATTGATGGGTTCTAATCCTTTTTCCTCTTGCTTCTTCTTTATAACACTCAAGAGAGATTCAGGGAGTCTCTCGGACCCCCTTACCAGAAGGTTGTCCAAAGTAGAATGTATTCTTGTGCAATCATTGCAACAAAGCCAATTACCTTGCGGCAATTCCTGTAATAAGTTTGAGACATATTATGTCCAACAGACAAAAGAGAAGTTGATGCCAAAAGTAATTTATCATATACAAAAGACATAACAAGAACTGCATACCTTTAAATATGCCATCTTGTGATCCCTCAAGCAGCCAACATGATATTCCTTTTCACACTGCAACAAAAGTGAAGGGGGCAAAGAAAAAGTTAGCTCAATAAAACTAAGAAATAGATACTCATACTTGCATCAATGATTACCACCACCACCCCTATAAGCAAGGGAATCGAGACTCTACATGATAAACAGGCCTTGTAGGCTACATCAAAATCAAAACTGGACCAGAACGAATACCTGGTCACACAGTATTATTGTGCGTGGACCAAAGCCAGATCTGCTGAAATCAACACCCCTACAAGTACAAAATGTTTTCTTTATATGGAATAGCTCAGTGCTATCATGAATATACAATATTGGCTTTCGTTAACTGAGACATCGGAGCATATCCGCAAAGTGACAATTGCCAGTTTCAGGTAAAATGCTAGATGACAGCTAACAGCGAAGTCCATAAATGGCTTATAATCTTTACAATGAACTTTTTACCTGCATAAAGCACACCCACTAAGCTCGGCTTCAATGTCTTTGACTATGCGAATGCATCTATTGGTAATCTGTTCAATAGGATCAACTCCTTCAACCCTTCCAGCTGCCATGGCATTGGCATTGTGTGCCACAAACTTCTCTCTCTGGAACATGTTTTGGCAAAATTGACAGTACCAGTCACCACGCGGAATACTTGATAGAGCAGCACATTCTGTACATTTTCAAACATAGGAACACTTAAAAGATGACTATCTCATAATTTACCAAAAAAGCAAATATTCTTCATGCTGCTTCCATTGAGTAAATCTTGAAACAAAATTTAGGCACCAAAAACAAAAGTTTCTATTTCTATATGAAAATAAATACTAATATTGTTACAGATATTGTGAATATATTACAGATATTGTGTCCAAATGCACATGATGGATGTGGATGGTACATGAGAGCTATTGAGTCAAAGAAATCCGACAAGTGGAAAGTGACTCAATGGGGTGGACGTCATACATGTTTGAACATGTCTTTGTCACAAGATCATAATAAGTTAGATTCTGAGCTAATTGCATCATTTATACAAGGTAAGTTCTGCAACTGCAACTTATAATATTATATTAATAATAATTTATATCACTGATTTTGAATATTTAATATGTAGGAATGGTTAACCAAGATCCAGCAATCAAGATTAGCCTTATCCAAGA